GCTTTTAGCTTCCATTTTTGAAACATGGTTAGAACTGTGTAGCAAAAAAAAAATATTTTAAATCAATTAATTTATAATATATATATATATATATATATACTATTTAAACTTTGAACTATTAACAAGGGAAGAGTGTTTGGGGATAGAATGTTTGGTCTAATGATTGCTTTAAGTATGAAACTGACAGTCATGATCCAGTCATGATTTTGCCCATAATAATTTAGTAATTGTAAATATTATACACATATTAGTCTCAGTATGTTGCTATCTATTTGAGTTCGTTCATTCTCTATCTATTTGTCTGCATGTTCATATCTCTTTATCTATCTATCCAAGTCTGTTCCTATCTAGGTTGATATCTATTCTGTTCATATCTATCTATCCATCTATCTATCTATCTATCTATCTATCTATCTATCTATCTATCTATCTATCTATCTATCTATCCAAGTCTGTTCATATCTATCTATCTATCTATCTATCTATCTATCTATCTATCTATCTATCTATCTATCTATCTGTTTGCCTGTTAATATTTATCTGCACATTGACACACAAATATATTGATTCTGAAATGTGAATATTCTTACAAATTATTGCCTTCATAATGAATCTTAACCAGTTCTTTATCTACAAAAATCAAATATATAAATATATATGAACAAAGATTTGCAAGCATATACCTACCTTATTTTCTTTTCCTCATAAGTATGTGCATCTGTATTGATATTTCTATATTTAAACAAAATTGCTTGTGTCAGTGGTTAAATTAAGCATGAGATTAGGGGTGATGCAGGAAGTTTATTGGATAGTGTAAAATTCATTAACCTTGGAACACATTCCAATTCAGTTTTGTTATCAACAAAACCAATGTCTGACTTGGATCAATTAAAAAATGTTTAGGCAGACACAGGTTTATTTATTAAGTTCTACTACAATTTATTTATTAGGTTCTACTACAATTTACTTAGCAAAGAACAGGATAATGTAGATTGCAGCAATCTGTGTTATGTTTCAGTAAAAAATAAAGTCCATCGATCTCACATCATTTATATTTACAGTCTTGTCTGGTATGATACTTACTAGTGTCATACCTGACAAGATTGTATATATACTGTTCTGCTTTCCCATGATTAATAAATGGAAGTATCAATAAATATGGAAGACTTGTATAGTAAATAATTGACAAAGTTTCCACATTCTATCTATCTATCTCACCCAGTTTGTCCATATCTATCTATCTATCTATCTATCTATCTATCTATCTATCTATCTATCTATCTATCTATCCCAGTCTTTTCATATCTATCTATTTCAGTCTGTTCATAGCTATCTATCTATTTCAGTCTGTTCATATCTATCTATCTATCTGTTCATATTTATCTGCACATCAATACAAAAATGCACTGATTCTGAAATGAGAATATTCTTATAAATTATTGCCTTCATAATGACTCTTAACCATTATCAATATTAAATAAAAATAAAAGACTTCAATTTCAGCAAAAGAATAAACCAAGTATAGACATACATCATAAAAATCATAAATTTAGATGGTTAGGTGGCTAGCATGCAGGGTTTGTGCCTCCTCTCTCTGAATCTATGATACATCCCCCTCCCAAATTCATATAAATTTTATATTCATATAAAATACAAATTTTATTGTAATTTAATTATGTACAATAATGGATCATATACAATAGGTGAACAATTCAACTAGAAAAATTAAAAATAAATACAATGTATCTGAATACAAATTAGAGACATATCATAACAGATCATTCCATTTTAAATAAATCAATGTTTTGCAGCAATTTTTAACATCAACTTGAGATTTTTCTTGTTCAAAAGTTGAATAATTTTAACACATTAATCATTATGGATGAAAAATAGTTAATTTTATATTGTGTCTTTCTCAATACTTAGCATGAGCAAAACAAATTTTTGGATTTGTACAATCCCCTCACCCTGGAATGATGTCAAAATCTGCAAAAGTTTCACATCCTTTAATAGTCAGTTGTGCTTAGTTTAATTTGTAATGTATATAAACATAGGTAAAAAAAAAGAGAAAATGTTGATAAGATAGTGAAGGTCACAAAGTACTATTTGAGGCCCCTAATCATGTTTGTCCCTGACAGTCATTGGTTTGCAGGTAGTATGCACTGACTCTGCTAGCATGAACAGTCAGATTGGTATAATGGACCTTGGTTATCAGGACACTGAGTATACCTTGTGGCAGGAATTAATGACCCACCAACAGGAGCAATAAATTCATCTTCATTCTGCACTGGGCTTTTATTGCAATCCTCATTTGAACTTGCTCCATAATTTCAGATTGGTTATTCCATCTGCTGGAGATTACATCTTTGGGTAATGTTGCTGTCTCTTTGCCATTATGAAGACAAATATGGGCATAACAAGAAGATTCCACTTGTCCAATAATTGTGTTGCACTTTGATTGTCTAACATGATGCTTCAAAAGGGTAGGTCGAGGTATGGGCAGCCATGTTGGAATATACCATCCCCTAGTCAACTGGCATTGGAAATTAAGTAGCTGTGCATGTGGAGTAGCATTAGCAGCAGTTGGATGTATTCTATTAGACCAGCTTCCATTGAGTCACTTGCAAGCATTGTGATTTGAATGTGAGGATTAATACATGCTATATAATTCCATATATCATTCATACTGCCTATTGCCTTCAGGATCATAAGAGTTGGTCCAGCTAGTGAAAATACATGGCTATACAAAAAGTTCCTCATATACAATGACACAAATTAAATAGTTCTGTATACATACAGGCATGTCAAATATCACATGAGCACTACTCCAAATATATCTGGACAAGCAAAAATGAAAAAACTTATCTATAATAGATGAGTTCTCTAAGTTGATGGCAAAGGGCCTTTAAAATCAGAACTGAGTTTCTCAGAGGGTACATTTACTTTGAACAGAAGTGGTATACCAGGTTTATGAAACTGGTTTTTACTCAACACAAACACTGTTTACATCCTCCGCAGAGAATGTTAGATTCTTTGTTCTAATAAAATGTAGCATTCATGCTTGAATGACAAAGAGTATTGTGCTGGGCTGAGGCATGAATCTGCACTTAATGGCTGGGAGGTCATCATTTTAGGTCAATTTACTGAGATCCTTTGATGCATCTGGGCACTAATTAAATAGAATTGTTCGTTCATAAAATATTGAGAAAAGGTTTTTGGAAATAATTTTTATACACTACAAGGCCCAAGGGCTGCTCAAGGTAGAGGCTTATGGAGTGAGATTGTAAGGGAGGGGAAAGTAAGAAAGTATTATGATGAGGTGAAGTTGGATAGATATCAGTTGAACTTGGACTAAAAGAGACCAAGATTGTAGTTGTTAGGGATGCATCATCTCAAGAATCTGTTCCACAAAATAACAGTTCTGGAGAAGAAACTCTCTGAGAGGAATTTGCTTTTTACCAAAGAACATGTTATTATGATCAAACTTAGTAGCTGTAGATATTCTATATACACTGATACAAAGTTGCCAGTGAGATATATTTATAGTTCTCTTTATGCTAATTACCTCTTAGGTAAACCAATCCCATTACATCTCCCTGAATCCTGCGTAGATCTATGGCTTCTCCTACATTCCCTCCCCCTCTTACTGGTTTCATGAGTATTTCTTGTCATAGGGGACCTTGATCTAGTTCTTTTATTCTCAGTGTCCCATGTTTCATACTCTGAGTCTCCCGAAAAACTTTGATTGTCCATTGGTTCCTCTGTCCTGCTTTCTTGTTCATCTACGTAGTCATTCAAACTAGCTTCGCTTTGTACTTCATTGTAATTTTGGCTCGCTCGTAACTGGTCTGGATGGGCAACAGTATTTTTACCATTCTTGCATATTAATGCCGTGTTGTATACTTTTTGCATTATGAAATGCACCTCTTACAGCGCATTTTCTTTATTTCTTTTGTACCATATGTTTTCATTAATAGAGTAAGACATGATTAATGGAGCTCTAATCTGTCTGTCTATTAATGCAGACAGGCTCTCTAATCTGTCAGCATGTAGTATCATTCTGTATCTCAACAATAATCTTGGTAGGAAAGTTTCAAACTTTTCTTGCTGAGAAGAAAATGCTTTCAATCCCATCTTTGGACCATTTGTTTAGCAATCCCATTTGATTGAGGGTGGTAGGGAGGTGTTTCATATGGAACACAACCAATCTCCCTTAAGCACAAGCATAGACTTTTGTCACAGAATTCAGGACCATTATCGGTTAATGTTTTTTGGTACTCCATTTCTAGCAAATATTATGCATAATATTTGTTTTATAGTTTTTCCTGAACTCGGAAAACTTCAAGCCAGGTAGAAAAGGCGTCAACCAGTATTAGATATAAACCTACCCTGTTAACTTGTGTGTGACCCATATGAACTCTAGACCAGGGTTCTGTTTCCTTAGGCCAAGAGTGTAACTTATTGTGGTGAAAATTCTTTATTTCGGCACATTTAGAACATTTATGTATGTAATTCTCCACATTTTGGGTGTGTCCATTTTTGTGTAGCAGTTATCCCATAATGACATCATCATGTACACTTTTAATTACTTCTTTTCTACATTTTTATGGTGGTACAACTAAATCCCCATTAAAATTAGACCATTTTCTATTCATAGTTTGTGCCCAGTTTCTTTGTATGGTCTTTCTGCTTTTGAACAATTACTTCATTTATTGTTCCCTATTCTAGATAAAATTCGACTTAAGAATGGATCTTGTAATGTCTCCATAACTAGTCTATTCATGGGCAACACATAAGTTTCCACCCAATGCAAAAATTAATCCTCAACTTTTTTTATGTTTTTTTAGTTTTGTTCCTTTTCAAATTGCAATTGGGACAATGTGTGTACTTGTGGTATCATGCTTCCCTTCATATATTCTATATCATAATCAAAAGCCATTAACTTCATAGCCCATCTTAATATTCTGGATGATGTAACTTTTGGCAATTCCTTCCTAGGATGGAATATAAATTTTAAAGGCTTATAAATCTCAACAAAATTTTTCCTAATAAAAATTGTCTTGCTCTAGTCATACTCCATACAATGACAAGTGCTTCTTTTTCAATATTAGATTAGTTCAATTCAGCTGGCGTCAATGCCCTGGAAAGATACATCACTGGTTGTCTTTTCTGGGACAAAATTGCTGATATACACTGGCCACTTGCATCTGTGGTTAATGTAACATTCTTTTTGGGGTAAAAAATCTTGACCACAGGTTTTTTAGACAGAACTTCATTTAATTTAATGAAGGCTGTTTGGTGTGTACTCGTCCATTTAAACTCCTTTTTCTACTTTCGCATCTCAGAAAATGCTTCAATTCTTTCTGAATATTTTGACAAGAATTTGCTATAAAAATTGGCTAATCCGAGAAATGATTCTAATTATTTTTTATTAGAGAAGATGCATTTAATATTTTTTGTATTAACACAGGGTCTAGTGAAATACTGTTTTCTGAAATTTGGTAACCCAAGAATGTTAATTCTTTGCAATTAAATATACACTTATCTTTGTTTATCATCATTCCCGTCTTCCTCAAATTTAGTTTTCTGTTCCAGTTCTTCTTTAGTCACTGCACCTAAGCATATATCATCCTGATAAATTATAATATTTTCTACTCTCCTTGCAAACAAATTTTCCATAGCTTTTTGAAAAATCAGGCTGGTTGTTTTAATTCCAAATGGTAAGTGGGACCATCTAAGTAAGCCTACTATAGGAAGTTTATTGTTGTGATTTCTTTAAATTTGTCATCTATTTGAATTTAGTGGTACACATTTTTTAAATCAATTTTTGTAAAATATTTCATTCCTTCCAGAGAATGTAGTATGTTTTCTATGTTTGAATAGGCTAGGAATCCGAACAAATCTTATGATTTATGCCTGCTTTGTAATCTCTGCAAATTGTAAAATCACTATTAAGTTTTCTTAAAACCACAATAGGCATTGCCCATTTGCCCATTTGCTGCCTCCAGGTTCTACATATTGAAGAATGCCTTCTTCCATCATTTTTCGCAGCTTATCAACTACCATTGGCTCTATATGAATGGGAAGTCTACAGCTTTCAAAACACGATGGATTGATATTTCTTTTTAACTTAAGGCTCACTTTATGGGTTTTTAATATCCACATTGGGGACTTCCCATATTTTATAGCATTAAGTAAACATGTGCTATTAATATTTATCAAATCAGTTCCTACTAAACCGTGACTTTTTATACAGTCTAGAACCATAATAGTGTCAGTTTCAAATCTGTTTTTTGTTTCTAAAGTGCCTTGAAAGCACCCTAATATTTTTATACATGTTCCATCAAACTGTCTTAATCTTACTAAGCTTTTCTTTAATTTTGATAATTGTTCCCAAAAATTCTTCGGAATAAGGGTTACTTTGCTTCTAGTGTC